TCAAGGATCGAACCTCCTAACATAAGAAAGTCATAATTATTGATTACGCGATGAATAATGGTAGAATTGACATAGGTTATAGATGTCGCATTGGTGAAATCACAAGTCACTATCCACATTCGTTGGAAAATAAAAGTAATTAGAGTATCTACCAAATTATGTGAGCGACATGTTCATCTCGTGACTTAAATAAGTTCAAATTATGGAATATTGAGGCGCAAAAGGCTTGTGGCTGTTCATACTCGTGTTTATTGACAGAACGACTTAAGTGACGTTTAATAGCACATGTGTCATTCTGTTGGTTTCTCCTATATTTCGCTTCATTTCCACCACGTCGACCTCAAGGATCAGACCTCCTAACATAAAAAGTCGGAATTATTGATTACGTGGTGAATAACGGTAGAATTGATATAGATTGTAGATATCGCGTTGGTGAAATCACAAGTCACCATCCACATTCATAAGAAAATAAAAGTAATGAGAGTATCTCCCAAATTATGTGAGCGACATGTCCATCTCGCGCAGTAAATGAGTTCAACTTATGTTTGTGGCTGCTCATACACGTGTTTATCGACAGAACGGCACAAGTGACGTTTAACGGCACCTGTGTCGTTTTATTGGTTTCTCCTATATTTCGCTTCATTTGCACCGGATCGACCTCAAGGATCGGACCTCTCAACTTCATCAAGTCAGAATTATTGATTACGTAACGAATAATCGTAGAATTAGCATAGATTGTAGATGTCGAGTTGATGAAATCACAAGTCACCATCCACATTCGTAAGAAAACAAAAGCAATGCGAGTATCTACCAAATTATGTGAGCAGTATGTCCATCTCGCTACTTAAATAAGTTCAACTTATCAAATATCGGGGGTTCGGAAGGCTCATGGCTGCTTATACATGTGTTTATCGACAGAATGACACAAGTGACGTTTAACAACACTTGTGTCATTCTATTGGTTTCTCCTATATTTCACTTCATTTTCACTGCATCGACCTCAACGATCAGACCTCCTAACTTAAGAAAGTCAGAATTATTGATTACGTGACGAATAACGGTAGAAGTTTGTGCCGTTCTATACACGGTAACGACAATTGTGCGATTCTTATGAACAAGTTTATGTCTTTATAACACTACTTGTGCCGTTCTCCCTATCATTTCAATATCGGTCACAACACAAGTGACGTTCTCGTAGACAATGTACAAACTAACATAACGACAGTTATACCGTTCTAATGGACGTTCTCATTTTATTAACGGCACAAGCACCGTTCTCATGATCAAAACTCGACCAAAATAACGACCAAATTACTGTTATCATAGAAATGCATACGTACATTTAAATGAAAGACATAAAAACTGAAACTACAATTAACATTCAACTTGAAGCAAACACGTGCTTATCACTTGACCTCAAACATGGATCTCCTAACTTAAGAAAGTTGGAAAAGTTGATCACGTGACAAAAAACGATTGAATTGACATAAGTTATTCTATTATTTTCAATAAAATACAAGTAATAAGTATATCTCGTAATTTTTTTAAATGCTATAATCAACTTGCAAGTTAAATGTGTTCAACTTATTATTTCACAAGGCATAGACGGGTCTTGGTTGCTTAAACTCTTAATGATAGACAGAACGACGCAAGTGCCGTTTTATTATTAATGACACTTGAGCTGTTATGTTGATTTCTTCTTTATTTTCGTTTGTTTTCAACGCAACGACATTTAGAATTGGACACCCTAAGTTGTGCAGTTCTCATAGTAATAATAGAAATTTATATTTATGTTACTTGTGCTTTTCTTTTAAAGTTTTTCATCTCAGCAACGACACCGGTGCCATTCTCACTTCGCAAGGACTTTAAGTATACTATAAACAACACTTATGCCATTCTCATGGATATAATAGCAATTTGCAGTTCTCATAAACATTTTCATCTCAGTAACGATATAAATGTCATTTTCATAGAGAAATGACGTTCTCATCTTAGTAACGACAAAAGTGTTGTTCTCATAAACAATTAAATTTACAATTATAACGACAGTTTTGCAATCATTGGGATGCTAGATTGACAATTAATGAGTATATTTCTTAACTCGCAATGGGATGCTAGACTGACAATTAATGAGTACATTTAACTTAAAAGACATTAGCAAAAATGTAGGAAAAATCAACAGAACAACACAAGTGCCGTTATTAATATGAAAACGACCATTGTGCCATTATTGGGTTGTTTGAGCCCCTTTTTTTTCAAAAAAAAAAAAGAATTCTGTAATAATGTTATGATGGAGAATGTGTGATTAAAAAATAAGAAAAAGTTTTGAGTTTGGGTATAATATTATTTTATTGAAAAACGTGTGGTTAAGATTAATATGTACATGATATATATAAAAGTTAATAGATATGTTTATTAATTTAATCGACACATATAAGTGTGATAACTTATATTTTCACCACCTCAATAATATAAATGTTATGTCATTTTAATCGTTCTTTGTGACTAGTCAATCTTTTGTGTTATATACGTTAGTGAGTCTATTATTAGAGTCATTTCGTTGAAAAAATCAAATTATAGTAGATAACGACTGTAGTGTCATTTTACTTTACAGATAATGATTGAGGTGATGCTCTATATATCAGATAGCATTTGGAGTGTTATTACATTCAATGGTTTCAGATAACACAAAAAACAAACTAAATACGAAAATAATACCAACTAAATATTATTTAATACTATATTTAATAATAAAAATACAACATAGATGAGATTTCTAATAACATGTTTCCCTTTTTCTTTAAATGTAAATGCAATTTTCCAATGTAAATGATATGCTAACCAAACTCTTGTTCAAATACTCAAAAGATACCCAAAATAAGTGAAAAATATAATAAAGAACATAATTTAAGAATAGCAATAATGGTATTGAAGAAAGAAAATAGGTGATTGTAATTTTGAGAACTTAAAATTGAAGATGAATAGGGGAAGAAAATGAATTTTCACAAATTTTTAGTCGATTTCGTGAGATTTCCACAAAGAGGAAACAGAAGAGCGACGTTGATTCTTGAATTTGGGAAAATAGAGTTTACCTGAGAAGAATACGAGTGAATGAGGGAATTTGGAAGAATTTTTGTGTTAAAATGTGAATGATAGTTTGGTTATTTTATTAATTAAACTATTCTGATTTTTTTTCTCTTTTATATTGGTCAAAGGTCATTTATTCAAAATTATTGGGCAACCCGGCTATCTCACCAAATTCCCCATTAAAACATTTATAAACCATTTATCTCTACTCTCTCTAACCGCTTGCTTACTTTCCAACAATCGATCGTCTCTCTCTCTCTAGCTATCGATAGTTTTTTTTCGAAAGAGGCATTCGAAATCAACAAGCATCAAGAACATTCTATTGTACGGTGCCCACCTAGCGTTCATTAAGACGCTTGCGAACAATAGAATTGGTTTCGTGATCGGCGCTGCTAATGGAAATATTTTGACGCTGGTGGCCAAGTCGAACTTTAAGTGTCAGTAGGTCGGTGGAGGAGGATTTTGTAATATTTGGGTCCGTTTGGCTTGATTTCTCTTTCCTGATTTTGGGGCGTAGCCTACATAGGGTGTTAAGGCTCCAATCAAATGTGAGGGGGGCATAAGGGAGATGTTTCCATCGATGGTGATGGGTGTGTCCGACAACGATGGTGGTGATTGAGGATAAATATGTGGCGACAATGCCATTAGGACTTAATCAGATTCTAATTCTTCAATTGGTAGGGTTTTGGTGGCTGGTGTTCGTGCTGGTGATTTTGGTGGTACTGGATTATGAGTTTGAGGTGGTGATGGTGATTTGGGTAGTGCCAATGGTGGTGGAATGGTGTTGGATGGGTTGGGGTGAGATGAAAAGTAATAGTGACTAGTCAATTGGGTAATTGTGATCTGTTAATTGAATATAAAACCTGTGATTTGTGACTAAATTTGTAATTGTGATCTATAATTTATATTTTTGTGATTGTTGCCTTGTGTGATTTGGTATGCAATCGTAACCATGAATTGTCTGTTATTGACTTGTTTAATTAATTAACAGGTCACAAAGTTTTAAATGTGACCACTCGATTTTTGAAACTTTTTTATAAATTTCTTATTTTTGTAAGTGTATATTAAAACCTTTGTAATTATGTATTATTCCCATTTATAAAAGTGGCTTTCCAGTTTCCACCCACTTGTGTTGGGCCTGGTTTGCTGATGGGCCAATATTGGTTGGGCTATGGCTTTTCAAAATGTTGACACTCCATGTCCATATCCTGTTAAGTATGGGAAAGTATATTAACACATGCACAAAGCAGCAGTTGCTCACACTATCTCTTTTGCTGAAAATTTTGATATCTTTTCTTTTTTTATCTCATAATACGTCATCGTCACAGTTGCTCATACTAGTTCATTTTTGTGAGAAATTTACTATTTCACCCAATTCACCAAAAGTGTCTGTTATCTTTCATGAACAAATTAGATTCACTTTAATTTTGTTATGCCTTTACAGTCGTTTTAACCTTCTACGAGAAAACTCTCCGCCATTGCTTGGTGGGTCATTATAAATCAAATTTTTAGTAGATTTTAATAAAAAATAAAATAGGAAGTTGAAAAGTTGTGGAACTCATAAATATATGATTAAAATTAATTGTTAACTTCAATTTAAATTATAATTTGAATTTTAATCGGTATCAAATAACATAATTAATCATGTTATCACAATCAACACCATATCCAACATAGTCCCTTTAAAACTTAGCGTGGACTAATGACTATAACAATCGACTTGTTCAAAGGAACATTATGAATGGTAAAAAGTAGGGTTAAGAAAGATTAAAGGGAGTGATTAGGGATTTTTCGCTCAACTTTGCAACTAAATGGTTACTTTAAGGACCAATTTGAAATTTCAGTTGAACTTTAGCGACCGTTGGTGACACGTTTTCGAACGCTGTTCGGATCCGGGTTCGGATCATTTAACGGTCCGCCCCACCCGTCGTCCTGTTACCTTCTTCGTTGAAAACCCTCCATCGTTATCGCCAGGACCTCTCTCCCTCTCTCTATAAACCGTCATTCATCGCTAGACTTTTACTCTCCCTAAAATCCCCAATTATGGTCTTTCTGAACTCTACGGTCGGTAAAACCACCAGCGGCTACCTTCCACCGATTCCCTCACTCCATCCTCACCGTCCATTTTTCTCTAGACCACTCTCTTTCAGAAACCCACCTACAGTCCTCCCGCTTTTATCTAGAAAATCCGTCGCCTCCTCTTCACCTTCAGCCGCATTTAGAAACCCAGAACCTAAAAATTCTAATAAACCCTCACATTCTGAAGAATTTTTAATTTATTCTGTGAACCCTATATCTCGAAATTCGTTTACAGTCTTGTCCTCGCTCAGAACTGCGCTAATTACTACTGTTACTGCTGCTGTCCTCTTTTTCTCGGGTTTTTGTTTCAGTTTGCAACCCGGTATTGCTTTGGCTGATTCTCCTGCGCCCACCGTTGAGACGGCCGCCAATGATGCGTTAACGGAGGAAGAAAGGGAGAAATCACTCGAGGTTGAATTGAGTTCTAATCCATATGATGTTAGAGCACTTAAGAATTTAATGGAAATTAAAATAAAGAGTAAGAAGATTCCTGAAGCTATTGGCATTCTTGATAAGTTAATAGAGCTTGAGCCAGAGGAACACGAGTGGCCATTGTTGAAAGCGCATTTGCATGCTTACAACGAAGAGATTGAATTGGCGAGAAGGGGGTTTAATGAGCTGCTGAAAGTTGATCCTTTTCGTGTGGAGGCATATCATGGTCTGGTAACCGCAGCTTCTCAGGAGGAGTCAGGTGAGGAATTGGAGAAAATCAAGAAGAAGGTGGAGGAGGCTATGAAATTGTGTAAAACGGAGAATAAGAAGAGTGATTTGAGGGATTTCAAACTTTTGTTTGCGCAAATCCGGGTCATTGAGGGGGATTATGACGATGCACTGACAGTATATAAGGAGTTGGTGAAGGAAGAGCCAAGGGATTTTAGACCGTATCTGTGTCAGGGCATAATCTATACCCTGTTGAGGAAAAACGGTGAGGCGGAGAAGAATTTTGAGAAGTATAGGAGTTTGGTTCCTAAGGAGCACCCTTATGCCAAATATATTGATGATAATATGCTTGCAACCAAAATTTTTGCGCAGAAAGTGGAGAAGGAAAGAGCTGCAGCAAAGAGTTAAGGAAATGAGGGATGACTTTTTTATTGGAAGGACTAATCACAAGGCATGGCCATGGGCCATTTGTGATTATGGTGTAGTGATGTTTCATGTTAAACTCTTTACCAATGTTTTAACTTTTTTGTTTAAGGTTTTATCTTCATTTGATGTGGGTTTGATTAGGTATTTAATGAACAAATCATGGGTAAAAGGTTTATAATTTAAGGAGATGGTTTTAAGCAATAAATGCAAGAGAGAAGATGGTTCAACTCATTTTACTTCAGTCTGGTTTTCAAAAAATCTACAGGGTCTATAAGTTTGTTTGTTCTCCAACGGTGGGTTGGTGGGGCAGGGCGTGGGGTGTTGTGTACTCTTATCTACTTAAAGATTATAATTCTGTTTTTATTTCATTTTTCTATAAGCTTTTTGTATCAGTTGCTTTACATTTATGGTTTACATAGGTTGAATCACAGTTTAATTTATCACTGCCATTGAATAATTTTTCTTTTACATGTATTGATTTTTGCCTTGTAATATCCGTTATGAGCCTGGGCTTAATAACTTCCATTTACCGAGGACTTTAGTATCACCACGTCTTGGTGTTATTAGTCTTAAGGAATATAGAAATGAGGATATGGTTAAAACTATGGTCTTATGTTATAAGGCAGGACGGGTCATGTGATTTCAACAATGCATTATGGTGTTCCGAAATACGTTATGTTTTCCATTGTAGCTTATCTTTTGGTTGTCAAAGCCTTAACAATATTCCGTGTTGATGTTGGACTTCTTTTCTTTACTTTCTTTTTTTCTCTGATGTGCATGCAATTGCTTTTAGCCTTGTACGCTCTCTGGTATTTACATTATTTAGGGAGGCATTTGAATCAACACGGTGAAGATAAATTGTATGCCAAATGGATTTGTGCTTCAAAATTTGGTCTTTAGTGTAAACGAAAGGTTGAAGGGGAATTTTGAACGTCTAATTTGGTAGTCTTCATTTCTTTCTTCCCCTTCTCTCTTCTCAGTGTTTGAGGTGCAATTTACATGCACCTTCATCCTAAATTTGGTACAATCTATTCATTACACCTTGGCACAGTTCACTGACATTTCCCATGCCAGTAGATCCAATAGTTAACAAAGAGGCCAACAGCAAACTCAAGACATCTTGGCCCTTCCTCTGCTGGATTGAGCTTCGATGGCCTAATCCTTTATACGGCTCTATGTATGACCATATGTTTTTTTAAGCGTTCCTATGTATGATCATATTAGAATTGAAGAAGTTGAAGAAAATTTTGTTCGCAAGAGCAATGCAATACCAGTACAACTTGGACAAAAGTTTTGATGTGGTTCAAAAAGATTTGATTTCATTAGATGAGGAGAAAGCCAACTCCAAACTTGTTACAATTAATACTTAATTTGTGTTGTTCTTGTTGTTTTGCTTGAGCAATAGGTGGTTCAGGCATTATGCTATCTCAAGCGAAGCTTTACTGTCTTTGTGACTCGTTGAATTGTGTTATTCAGGCGGTAATTTTTTTATCTATGGGGCAAAGGATTGTGGGAAGAGAGAGAGAGAGACTAGCTGTATTGTGCTCTAAATCTTTAGTTCTTTGCTGCATATCAGGTGCATTGAACTTTAAGGAGTTCTGATGTGTTCAATTTTCTAGTTGGGCTTCCATATTATCTGCCTTCTGTTAGGGTAGCGTTAATTCATGCTTTTTGTTAGACCTGTCGGTCTTTACATCTTGGATACATTTGATCATACATAAAGGATTTCGCTATTTTTCTTCATTATGAACATGAATCAAAAGCACACAAGATTTTATAGAAGAAGGGGAAAAAGGGAATGGGTAAGAGGAGATGAGAAGAAGGGAAGGGGAGGATATAAGAGTGGAGGGGAGGGGATGGGAGGGAGAGAAAGATAGCTATTGGGGAGAAAATTCTGTTTATTCAACAATCAAGTATGTCGAATACAAAATTCCTCAATAAACAAGGAAAAATAAAATACAAGAAAATTTTTATTTTCTCCAAAATCATCACCCCATTTATCAAGTCTTCAACTAAATATATATTAAGATCTTCATCAGAAGATTTTGTTTTCTATTGTGGTTGTTCCTTGTAGGAATCTAATTAACAAAGAGAAATTACTCCTAAGATTTTCCCACTAGGATGCTAACGCTACGTGTAAGCAAAACTTTGTCCTCGTGGGTAAATCCCAAGTAATTGTCAACCCCATGTTGTGTAGGCCGGTTGGCCCAATTTTTCCTTTTCTTTTACGGAGTTGGGGATGAACAGGGTTTTAGGATACTATTCTTTTAGTCATTTAGATATCTGTCTAGCTTTGCATCTCCATCTCTGTACAGATTACACAGTCAATTCTCAAGTATGTAGGAACCATATTCTGGTTTATACATTAGTAAATTACATGATCGAGCAAATTCCTGGCCTTTCATTAGAATTTTTTAATTGAACTAATATTTTGCTGGGTATTCTGACTTCCCACGAAATAGGTGTAAGTCTATATTTATGCTGTTTCTCATCTGCGGAACGAATTCAGTTTAAGGTTGAACAGAGACGTCTTCTTCTGGTCCATATTACAAGAAAAGTTTTCTTTCTTGGGAGATTTTCCTTCCTTAAAAAGCCATTGGGCGAAGAAGAACCTATTAGTTGAGAAACAATAACTTTGCAAAGTATGTCTGGCAAGATGTTTATAAACAGGGATAAATGAATGTCGGATTCAGGAGGACGAAAAATACTTTGATACATAGAAAAATAATTTTCATACCATGAAAAATGAAATGGACTTGGGGCAGTCCTGGGATTTCTCCCTCCGCCCTTGGATGGAAAAGTATGTAGTACTTGTAAATGTGCGGAGTTGCGAAATCAATGGATTTTTTTTTTCGTGTGAGGCTATAATATCAGCGTTCCTATGTATAGGCCTTAATTAGTATACAATTATATGCAACTCATATTGGACTTATTATTCAGAGTGTACCTATATCTATAGTCTAAGAATCCTAATGGTTTTGCTTTTATTGTATTATTATTGTCGTTATTGACTAGCTTCAATATTCACATTTACCCATCAAACAGGAATAATGATAACAAAAATAATGGTGGTGTTGGTTGGCATTATAGAGCTTTCTTGTAAGAGCTGTCACAATTTTTATTCCCATAGAATAGTTATGGCATGTTCTGAGAAGGGACACGGTTAGACATAAGTCGTATGAAATTTTATTATTGAAGGCATTTGATATAAAAAAAAAATAAATAAAAAATAAATAAAAATTCTTAGAATTGATTTTGAGAAAATTGATTTTTTTAATTTTTTTTTGTGTGATTAAAAAGTAGAAAAATAAAATTATTTTTTATGCGAGTGTGCTTGAAATAAGTTCTTGCCTTATTTGGTTAAAAATTAGATTTTTAGTAAATTTTGATAAAAGCTGAATAAGTGTGTTGCTGAAAAGTTGATAAAAATTGTGATTTTCATTAAGTCCCTGTTTGAACCACATTTTTACCTCATTAAAATGAAAAATATGATCGTTATCCATCACATCAAGCCATCATTTTTGAATTCTATCTCTGGTGTAGGGCCCATAACGACTCTATTTCTCATTCTCATTATAATGTGGCTCAAACAGGTTCTAAATTTGTGGCTAAAATTAATTATTGATTTAACTTAAATTTTTATCAACTTTTTTAAATAAATCAAACATGGGAATCTTTAACAAATATGATAATGGAAATAAATTTAGATTGTGTATTCACTCCGAATATAAACCTAACAATCCTCGTAGGGCTAATTAGAGATCACTACTCGCTTTAATTTGAATTGAGGATGAGTTTCTTGAATCTTGGCTAGGTGACTGACCACTAGACCCTGGAGGGACACTTACACCCTTTTTGCTATTGTAGCATGTTTGATACGGATTATATAATGAGCGTGATTACGCGACATTATTCTTACTTTATTTATTTATTTTAATGACGTAAAAACCAAACATAAGCAGAAGCCAAAAACTATGATCTCGTCCTTGTGTGTGTCTACCCACATGATCGCTTCTCAAATGGGCCATTATATTAGACAAAAGGGCTGTTTAAATGTCGAAAGAGTAATCATCCATCACAATCAATTCTCTTACTTAAACTACACGCCAGTCAAAAGGGTGATGTATCAACAAGAGGTGAATTTTTACTTCATATGGTTTTTTAAAAATTCACTTATAATTCTATCAAGATAAAGTATGAAGAATTTGAGTATACATATTCTTGCAATCTCTATTTATCAATGTTTTAAAAAAAATCAGATCGTTTCAGCAGGTTCAAACGGAAAAATTGGGAATAGAGACTAAAATCATTCTGATTAGGTTTATAAAATCTCTAATTAAAAATTCGTCCCAAAACCCTTTAAATTGATTGATTTTTGGAAATTCGTGACCCGTTCCCAGTTTGGCCAATTCAACCTATGTAAGTTTATATATTTTTTTAAAATTTCCTAAATATATATAACTTTTAATTTTTTAAAAATCATCGGTTTGATCCCAATTCAATCCTTTGATAATTGATCCTCTCTCTTTTTATTTTCATAACATTGCTATTTATTATGTTCAATTCAATGCTCCTCCCTAATTAAGTAATCAACGGTGCATAGTACAATATTGCTTAATTAACCTACTTCCCAAGGTGAGAATTTTCAATCTCATTAAAGCCATTCAAAAGTAAATAATGCTGGTGGGAACTAACTTTAATTAGGACAATTACTTTTAAACTTTTTCTTTAATGATGGCATCCAAGTCAAAATTATTCAGTTAAACATACCCATCTCTTCAAAGTAGACTATCTAGGTCCCTATGTCGATATTTTATATGTCGTTAATTTTTTATTTTATTTTATTATTATTATTATTTTTTTTTTGGTAATGAACTAAACCCTAACTCGGATTGTAGTGCATAATGCAATGCTTTACTAGCCCCTCCCTAACTTTGGAAGTCTGTTTCATCTTCTTCTTGTTACGATGATGAATGTTACATTTTCCCTTGTAAGATCCCATGTTTGGTTAAGTTTAAAAAAATTGATTAAAATCAAAAACTTCACGAAATTCGTAACTTTTCAATCATACATTTCATCTTTTATCAAAATTGATAAAAAAAAATTATTTCTTTTCTGAACCAAACAATGGCTATAATCATATCATTTCATCTCCGAAACTATATTCATTTTTAATGTTCGAAAGTCTAACTAATGATATTTTATTATAAGTACTCACGGTGGAATTGCATTAGTATTGAAATGGAGTAGGTTGTGTAGCCCGTAAAAAAACTTCTTATTATTGGATACACTTGTTTTGAGAGTAACATGTTGGTATGCCTTTGAAGGCGAGTTAACGTGGACTAGCTTGCAAGTTTATCACATTTTTACAAATGATTTTGTTAGAATAAATAAGGAAATTGAAAAAGAAAATTCAAAATGTATTTAGATCCAACCATTGTCCAGCTTGGTAGTAGTGTTATGCTTTATATGGAAGGGTGACTTGGCCGTGTCCGACAAAAAAGATAGGTATTAAGAGAAATAGAGCATAAGATTGCATATAAAAAATCTTGTTTAGTAAAGAATTTGTAAAACTCATTTTTTCTTTAAATTTATTTTCAAGTATACATTTTTTTCATAAAATAATTTTACACGTGAATCCAAAAAATTTTCTTACTTTTTAACTGCATATTTTCTTTAAAAAAAAAATCACTTTTTTCACAAAATCTATTTTCAAATGATTTATATAAAACATGCCAATAGCATATAGCATCTTTGAAGATACTCCATGTTAGGTTGGGATAGTCTAAAAGTTGTTACATGGTGTAAGTGGGCAATGTTACGGTTCAAAAATATCAATAATCGATCATAGGTTGGTACATTTAGGAACAACATATATTTTGATTAGCACCCATTTGGCCTCCATTTTTTCAAATTTAAATGGGTGAAATATTATTATTTTTAAATGAATGGTTGAAAAAGAAGAAATAAATTTCAATATACGTGTAATATTATTTTAAAGAAAATTGTGTGATTAAAAATATGAGAGAAAAAAATGAAATTTACGTTAATCGGGTCCAAAACGTTTTCCCTTTCTTTCTCGTACGCTTTCTTGCTTTGTTCCAAAGCTCAACAAAAGAAATTTAGTCCATAAAAACCCTTTCTTATCAAAGAAAGTTCTGAAATTTATTATTTTTGCTTAGGAGAAAGAAATGCAATACTTAAAATGTTTGTAATTATAGAGAATATACGTATTTTACTCTCAATTATTCGTTTTAAATGCTAATATATGTTTTTAAAATGTTAAGATGAAATATCTAAAACTTATTTCTAATCGTACAGTTTATGAAAACACAAATTTTCAAGTCTTATTAAGCTCCCGTTTGGTTCTGATTTTTCACTTCAAAAAATCAATTTTTTGACTGTTACTTAATATAGTCAGCCGTCATTTTTCACTTCTTCATTCATAGATGAGACTCATTTTTCTCTCTAACAAAAAAAAAAAAAAAAAAAAAAAAATTCTTATAATCACTATAGGGCCTAACTTTTATGTAAATTTACAAAAAAAATGAGTAATTTAGGTAGCCTATGGGGAGCCTATATGGTACCAGGGGATGCATAGAAATAGCATGAATAAGTTGTACAATTGAAGAATCTTGGATTCTAGTCATTTCCCCATAATTCAGACAATTTAACCCCCAATCCCATGCAATGTATTTTTGTCCTATCATGTGTAAAGGCACCAAAGTCAATATCCCCAATTGTTCTCATCCACTTGCCTGCATTAATAATTCAAGGATACCAATGTTTGTCTTATTTTTCTACACACACATACGTATAATATATTTGCATGGTTCATAGGTCAGAGGACTAACATGTTGGAGTTTACAATCACTTGAAACCTGTTTCACACTAATTTTTGAGAGTTGTGTAGCTAAAAAGTGAAGAAAAGTTGTGGTTTGTATAGTTAAAATTAATTTTGATGAAAAAAATTTAGTCTTTAGAAGGCTAATTTGCCTATGTTTGGTCACATTTTTTTAAAAATTCATTTCTTCAACGCTCATGTTTAACCATACAATCTATCACAAAATAATATTATATGTAAGTCAAAAATATTTTCCTTTTTAGCTACACATTCTCCAAAAAATAAATATTATTTCAAAATTCATTTTCCCCCGAATTTTCATTAAAATGGAGCCAAAACAAGAGGTTAAGATATTCTTTTCACGATTACTATTGCTCATCTCGAAGAGAATATGAAATGCGTATATAAGATTTTATGATCAATTCATGACTTATGAATGCTAAAAGTGCCCTTAAGATGATCTCGTATTCAGCAATGACGGCTTGAATTGATGACGTCTACTGTCATATTTTATCTTATCTACCGTGGGTAAGAGAACAATTTTGATACACAAATATTCTTTTGGCAAAATAATATATATAGCCAACTCATGAATCCACTTTATTTTCATTATGAAGATGTATCGCGTTAGGATTCGTTGCTCAAACCGAATCACACCAACGTTATGGAAGTTCCTGGATTGTGTAAGATAAGAGTAGTACCAAAGGCAGCACCTTCTATCAAAAATGAAAAATTGGCTATGGAGATTCCGCGCGATCAGAAATTAATACAGACACAAAGGTTTTCAACAGGAAAGTCGTTACATATATATATGTTTAGGCAGTGAAAAACAATCTATATAACAATGATGTCACTATTATATTATTCAACAAAATTATGATGTATTTTTCGTCATTGGCATTGCTGAATAACAACATTATTCTTTTTGTAAGAACATGAATAACATTACTCAATTTGAAATAATTTTTCCATTTATTAACGCTTGGCAAAGTTAATTAATGTCATTACAAAGCTATAATTAATGAATTGTGAGAGGAATAAAAGTTTGGGACATGTTTGCAATTAAAATCATCATAATTACTTACAGTAATAATCTACAAAACTTGGATCCAATATTAAGCATCCAAGGAGAGGAAAATTAATGCTAATCCTGAATTTGAAAATCATAAGAAATCTTTTCTACAATTTAAAAAGTTTAAAATTTTCCAACACAATAGTTTGCTGCTTGGAACCAAAAATAAAAAAAAATAAAAAAAAATAGCAAATCTTAGTCACTAATTATAATTAATTAAAGAATTTGAAAAATTGTAATCCATATTTGTTATTATTTATACGTGGAAATACTGCAACCCTACACGTGGCACACGAGAGGGGCCTCATACCTCCTCGCACACAGTATGTATTCCCCCTCGTGTCGCCTTCAATTCAAAAATGCACTCCACTCTCTCTCTCTCTCTCTCGGCCATGAATACGCATCTCTTTTCTCTCTCCAAAACTACATGTATGTATAGATGCTCTCTTTTTCTCTCCCCCTCTTTCGCACACAAAAGTTACATGTATGTATAGACGCAAACATACACACTCTCTAGAATGTGCTCGTCCATGTGTATGTGTATATGAAAATCTGCCTGATGTTGATTTTCTTTTCTTTTTTTTTTTCTTTTTTTTTCTAAATTTTGGTGTAGGTGTTTAAAATGAGCTGAAGAGAAGCTAGGTATAATGGCGATGGTTTTCGAGATGGTGTCGTGCTTTTTGCCGAGGATATCGATCTAATTTCTAATTTTATTTCTCGGAGACCGCCTTTTCTTTTTTCTCTTTTCAAAAGAGAAGAAAAATATTATTTTTTTTTCTAGTTTGCCTTTGTCTGTTTTGGCATTTGAATTTTTGAAAAGAAAATGCAGAGAACTCGGCATAGGAAGTCCAAGAGTGCTACAAGCATTGAAGGTAAAAAAATTCCATTCGTGAAGACAAATTTTGTTTTGGTTTCGTGCAAGGAGTGTAAGATACTAAAATTTTTGATTTTCCTTTTTGTTTGAGCTTGGTTTAACGAGTTTTCTTAATGTGCTTTGTCTTTGAAGATAATTCGATAATGAAAGAAAAAAGGGAAAATATTGAATTTGGTCTTCTTTGGTTTGTTTTCCATTTAGGAGAAATTTGAAATGAAAAGCTTTGGATCTCTGAAAATGAAAAGAAAAATCAAAATTCTCAGTTTTTGCTCCCCTTCACTATGACGGCTTTATAAAAAATTATTATGTCTAAAATTTCAGAAAATTGGTAGTGTTTTCTCTATACTTTAGTTCCTGAGTTTTTCTTTAATTAATCGGAATCTCTAAGCTTCACTCTCTCATTCTTTCTGGATTTTGGTATTTGAAGGGACAGATTTGATGAGAAAAGGGAAGAGGTTTAGGAGTTTTTATTAAATAATTATGTTTGCTACTTTCACGACATTGCCAAAATTTAATGGAATTGTTCTTTTTATTTTTCAAATATCCTTCTTGTGAGAACTTTTTTGTCATTGAATAATCTGCTTATTCATTAAGCAACAAAAAAAGAATCTTTGTTGAGCTGTTTAATTTCTGTTTCTTTCTATGTAAAGATTATAAATGACATGAGTTGATTATAGGTGTTTAGCATGCTTTTGCTAAAGTAAGTGTTTTCTCAAGTGGAATTAAATAGGGAACTCTTTTTTCTATTTTTTGTAATGGTATGATGGTATCAGCATTATTTTGTTCCCTTTTTCTTATAGAACTTTCTTCTTATGATAAATTATCATAACTGGGCCTAGTCCTTCAGGAGAACCTATGCTAGTTTTAGTCACATTTTCCCTTAAATTCTATTTAAGCGCATCTTACAATTTTCCCAATTTTTAAAATGATTCTTTCAACATATGGTTTGTAATTTTAGACTGAAAAAGGAGAACTTTGTATTTTGTTTTCCTGCTTCCAATGAATTGATGGGTCTGTTATAGTTGATTCAATTAGTTTACAATTTTGGAATGAATGTGTCTTAATTCAATATTTTGAGATCTGCATCTAGAGAACTCTTTCCTTTGACAGACTCCTTCCAGAATTATTCCAACGTCTTACAATCAATTTCTTATGATCTGGACTTATCCAGGAATTCAACAAATTGAGAAACGCAAAGCCGCTCCAAGACTGTCTTCTGATTCTCAAACTCCTGGGGGTGGAACCACTGGGAATGATATGGTGCGTGTCTGTGTATTTTGATCTGTATGATTTGTTAGCCCTCCAAATATCTAGTAATCATTGAGATGTTATGACTTTCTTTTTGCATGTAGTGACACTTAATAAATGATAACTTAAAAATTAACCGCTGCAGTTCATGCTTGAGGTGGGACAAAGCTCTTCGAGACGAGCAACTGGAACACCAATAAAGAAGTTATTGGCAGAAGAAATGTCAAAAGAAATTGAAGTTAAAAGACGATCGCCAAGTGTTATTGCCAGATTGATGGGTCTTGACGGGCTGCCATCTCCACGACATGTTCATATACAGCAAAGGAGTTCTTCAGATATCTATGAACAGAAAAACGTGTCAATATGCATCCAACGGAATGGCCAACTACTTGATGGCCAATCAAGTAGGAGAACCTCAATGGAGCAGCAAGAATTCAAGGATGTGTATGAAGATGTGGAAGCATCTCACATTGCAAGTCGGCGTAATTCATCAAGATGGAGCACAAACTCAAAGCTTACAAAATCTGAGTCTGCACTCATTCAGCAGAAGTTTACAAATGCAAACCAGCTTTCTGCTGATGAAAAGCTTCTAGGTACAAAAGAATATTCTAACACACTTGAGTTGGTAGACTCGAATAAGGGCTCATTCCAGAAATATCTTCAGCATCCAGATTCCTTATCTGTAAAGCATATACATGATTTAGAAATTGATCCTTCCAGTTCTCTTCGTGGTCATATAGAAGTTCTAAAGCCATCAAATTCTGCAAAATATGAGTGCAATGCCAAAGCATGGAAATCAGAGAGAGAGATTTCCTGCAAACACGACATGACCTCCCACCAGAAACGTGAAGATGGCCTTTTACTCCACCCACACAGTCGCCATAGAGCTCATGCTTCATGCAAATCACCACAAATTCAATTAGACGACATGAAAGGCAGAAACACTCTTCCCACAAGAATTGTGGTTCTCAAGCCAAACCTTGGAAAGATACAGAGTGCTTGTGCATCTGTTTCATCACCTGGTTATTCACATAATTACCCCTCCAACTTTAGGAAGCTTACAGAATATACAAGTGTAGGAGGTGCTGAAATACTATCCAGGAAAAGGAGAGGTTCGTCTGATGACGTAGGATCCTTGAAGCCCTTGTCAAGAGATGCTAGAGAAATTGCTAAGGAAATTACAAGGCGAATGAGGGATGGTTGTGATGGATTCATTGATCCAACATCTTCTGGAGTCAGAGGATATGCAGGAGACGAGAGTTCTTATGATGCTTATGAAAGTGATTCTGCAAGTGAGTCCGAGGTTTTTAAATTGTCATCTAGAAACTCCACTCGTTGTAATAATCGGCATAAATATTCACATTTTGGTCCAATTGAGTCATCTGTAAATTGGGAGGCAAAAAAGAGACTATCTGCTAGGTGGAAGACGACTCATAGATGTCAGGATTTGGAAATGGCTGGTAACGCTAGCACACTGGGTGAAATGCTTGCCAAACCTAATAGAGAAACAGGGCCTAAATATTTGTATGCTAATGTGGGTCTCGAGAGGACAAGTGGTCGGAACATGAGCAACAATGGTGCTGCAATTTGGGATTTTCCTTTGGGCATTAGCAATACTGATGGTTGGAAGGATAAGCGTAATAGAATTTCATCAAGATCGAGGTCCCTTTCTCCCTCTTTTGTGAGTGGCAAAACTCTCAGAAGAAGAATGAATTCTGTAACTCTGACCGAAGACCAATATCTAATGCATAATGACACTGTCAGTTGTGGTAGAAGTGAGTCTATGAAGGGAAACCTAAGTTGGAAGGAAGATATTTCCTCTAAAGATATAAAATACAGGAGCGAGAAACCTTCTTGTCATCACAAATTTACAGACGAAATAGACTCTTCAACAGAATCCAATTTTGAGATTCAAACTGAGATGAACTTTGAAACAAACCCAAGTGAACAGCAGTCCACATCTCAGATCACTGCAAAAGATGGCACCTGTACAACTCCTATTCCTGATGCAAAGACAGCTGCTAAACATGGGGTTGTAATCTCATCTTCAAAATCTTCTGAGTTGCAATTGAAGCAGTCATATTTGGAGGTAGAAAAGGACAAAAATACTGCTTCTGACAAAGAGGATTCTAGTTTCCAGGTTCGGATCTTTGCTTTCTTTTAACAAAATTATTAATGCTACATGCATGCAGCAAGTACAAAACCTCGTTTATTGTATTTTTTTTTGTATTTGCATGCTTTCCGTGGTCGTCCCTATTCACATAACCAAGTAGGACCCAGTTCTTATTTTCTCTTATTGCTTGAAATAACTGCATTAAACTGGGATAAGCTAAACATTTGCTACTGCAAATTATTGCACTTTCTATGTATAAAACCACATTTCCCTGTGCTAGAGAAACACTTTCTGTGCATGGAAATCTTTCTCTTAGTCACATTGTTCCTATTCCATGTTCATCGCAAGTCCCCATCCATATAATGCCAAAGTATATATTAGATTATTATTTCTTTCAAGTCAAGCTGTGAATGCCTTCCGCTTTTCTGGTAGCAGTTGCTTAAGTTGCACAAGAGTCTAATGTTCTGCTGTCTACAAAGTTCTAAGCTGGTTTATATTCCTAGAATGAATTGATAGAATGCTGCTATAAGTGATTTTGGTTGAATTACATGGTACTAAATTATCTTACTGCCTAGAGTTGGTTATTTTCACATTAAGATATTTTTGCATAAATGTGGTGTTATTTGATTCCCATTCAATCGAGTCATTGCAAATTATTTCTCTATTTTATAGTTTCCTCTTTCTACAAATATACAGTACTGAAAACCATAAAAATTTATGAATTTAGACTTTTTGAGTTAAAGTTTGATGAACTCATGGCAGACTATTAGTTAAAATTTTGTAAGAGCTGTTACACACCTGTACATATATGGAGTATGATAACATCTTGTTAGCACATTTTTTCTAATGATGTTGCATTTTCATCATTTAATATGGGAATGCTGTTTAATTGAATTATGAGAGCTTTATTCAATTCTATGAAATTCATTTCAGCAAACCACGATGTTTCGGGAACCCTTGGAGGGACTATCCAAACAAGCTTCTGCTTCCATGCAGTTTCCAGGAGCTGAGCCAGATTCTACAGAGAGCTCCAAGAATGCTGATTATCATAGTCCAGTTTCAGTCCTGGAGGTCCCTTTCACAGAAGATATATCATCTAGTTCTGAAAGCTTTGAGAGAGTCAGTGCTGAACTTCATGGTATGCAGCTCATTATTAATATTTTAAGAATTTGCCCGTGTTTGAAACTCATGGTAATAAAGTCATTGCAAGTTTCAGTATGTGAATAAAGTGGTTGATAGATATATGTTTTTAACAATGGGGAACATTGTCATTTGGCTTGAGTGAATTATATGAAAATTTATTTCATGGTTATTAGGAGCATGTGTCTACTTAGCAATTATTTACAGTGACTGGTTCTTCCATCATTACCTTGCGATGCCAGAATTTTCTATGGACATATTTTGCTTTACTAGATTCATTTACTTTAGTCATCCACGCTCATTCGTGCAGTACATGTGTTACTCCTTTGTTCTGATTATTAATAGTTTTTCTTTATAAATTGCTATATACCTTTTTCGTAGAATTGCGAATGCAGCTGCAGCTCCTCAAGATGGAATCAAGAGAATATCCCGAGGTCCCCGCACGTATTTCAAGTGAGGAAGATGTAGCACAACATTCGTTGATGAACTTGGAACAAAACCATAAATTAGGAGCCGAAGACTGGGAAGCTTCTTATGTTCTTGATGTGCTGATCAACTTGGGTTTTGAAGAATCTGACCTCGACTTGTTTAGAACAACATGGCACTCCTCGGAATGCCCTTTAAATCCTGAGTTGTTTGATAACCTTGAGAAGAAATATAGTCATGAGCAAATGGAGTCAAGGTCTGAAAGAAGGTTGCTGTTTGACGGAATAAATTCAGTATTTGTAGATGTTTATCAGCAGCTTGTTGACCCGTTCCCATGGGTTATGCCAAAACTAACTGGAGTTGATTTGAAGGGGCCAAAGCAAATGATTAGAGATAATCTTCAGAAGTTGCTTTCCGGCCAAGATTTTGAAGCCGAAAGGGAAATTCCGGAAAGTATACTTGACAGGGATATGCAGTGGTTTGAATTCAAAGGAGAAATTGACGTGATAGGCAATGAAATTGAGAAACTGTTGATAGATGACATGATAACAGAGGTTCAAATTTCCTAAGTTTAGAACAAACTGTTGTAGTCTAGTTGGTGATAGAGACAGATGAAAATGTCTGTTTAGAAATAAACGAATAACAAGAACAAGCTTTGAAATTTATTTCCAATCTTAGAATTAAGTAAAATTACAGTCCTAATTGTTGTGTTTACTTTATTTACTAAGCCCTGTTACTTTATGAAGTTGCAAAAAAAACCCGATCCAACCCGACAAACTGACCTGTAGTTGTGGTGGTTTGATTTTCGGGGTGGGGGCTGAAAATCTCGATTTTAATTGCCAGCTTAAAAAATAGATTTAAAGGAAAAAAATATCTTGAAACCGAAGTTTTGAACCTATTTGGTTCGATTTTGGGATTGGACCTAAATTCGATCCGAATTGTGTCCAGTCCTACTTTTGCTTATGTTCTTGACTTTGTCATAGAAAAATGACCCATTTAATTTTGTTCATAACAACGGTACAAAATTAATTGGAGATTTGATCATGACCTGAGGTAATAAATTTTTGTTCTTGTTTTGCATCTTATTGTTTCAAATGAATAAACTTAAAATACGTTTAGGACCTATCTGGAAGCAAATTTTCTCTGCTAAGTAATAAATTTCTAAACATTAGAGGCTGCAAGTGGGGCCTGACTATGAGAGGAGTGGTCAACTTTTGCAGCTCCAACAGTTGGAATTTCAATTTTAATCTAAAGAAGAAACAGCTCCAGACAGACACCTAATTTCATCTGAGTACTATCATCTCCAATAAATTCATTGACCTTAAAAATAATTAAGCAGATACTATCTAACAATCACTAGTCGAGAGTATTAATAGATTTTTGTCGAACCATCACTAAGAAACCGACCTTAGCTCAGTTGGCAGAGCGGAGGACTGTAGTTGTTGCTGTAATCCTTAGGTCGCTGGTTCGAATCCGGCAGGTCGGAATTTTTGTAATTTTGTTTTCAAACTTTTAATTATTCAGTAAGATATTGATTAGTCAATGTTGGGAATTCAAAATGAGATAATACAAATGAACCAACTGTCCTATTGTGATGAATTTTTTTACTAAAGGAAAATCTACACAAGAAGCACTGAATCAGAATCATTATTTTTGGTTTGTACAGTTCCATTCAGGGGGTAAGTGATCCGATTTAAGTCGTTTTTTTGACAAATTTTCAAATCATTTAAAATGGTTTGAGAAAAATTCAAATTTAAACCTAACGATTTAATTCAATTTTAAATTGCGATTTGATCTTATATTTTTCTTCATGTTGACTTTATCATCACTTGTTCAATGATTGTAAATATTTCATACTTTATTAACGAAATAAAAAAAAAGGTATATATCAGTCTATAAATTTATATACCAATTGGAAAAACTTTCAACAATGAGGTTATAAAATTAGGGCAATTTTTAGTAGTTATATTTTATTTTGAAGAGCAGGATGGCTCGGCTAAATTTTGGCAAAAAATTTACTTTTTTTAAACACTTCAATTTGATTTCAAATCGTCCTTAAAATTTCGATACCTAAATCAAATCTGGCTTATTTCAAAATCGTTTTGTTAGTGAAATTGTGAAACCACGTAGCACCAAACCAACATTTGAAAGAAAAAAAAATGAGAGGGGGGGTGGGGGGTGGGGGTCAGTTTCACCAATTTTACTTAGGTTTACTTCCAATTTTTGAAACAGCTGCATTTGATACTAGTGTTAGCCTTTAATAAAAGGATAGAAATATAAGATTTAGAGACAATATTATAAATTTTCTCATATTTCTATAATATTAAGATACTAACTGTTGATCCCCTTTTTTTGCAATGACAACGTGGACAACAGATATCGGATCCACCCACTTCTACACGAGCAAATTTTGACATGTTTCGATCAGAATAATCAATCAAAGGGTCAATAGACGTGAGAGATACTCTATAACACAAGACGAACACATTCAAGCACCAACAGTTTGATCGAGAACAATGGTAAATAAATAATCACAAACTGTCTCACCATAACCAAAATTATTTGACCTAAAGTATGTAAGTGTGGAATAAACAATGAAAATTCAAGTATGTAATCTTACACATATTTTTTTCAATTCCTTAAAAGGCTACAAGAATTGCTATTTATAAAGTCTGGGCCAACTTGGTTGTCATTGAATTAAAACCATATGGCTTCATCCTATTAACCAAAGCCTCACATCACTTTCTGCCACAAATTAATTGCATTGAAAATGGGTCAGCCGACCTACATTCTATGTTGACATTTTTGTCATCCATTAATACAAACGTTACACCAATCATTCCTATAGATACCTTGCAAATCCACTTTAAAGGCAACATGTGATTCAATCTAGAGAGAGAACTTCGGTTGGGAAGGAAAAGTACTTTGGATGATAGAGGTTCTTCCAGAGAGAGTGCCTTGGCCAAAGGAGGAGTGCTTTGGTAAAACGGTTCGACTTTTTCCTTTTTCTTTATTTTAACTTTGTTGACTGCCATATATCTTGCACATATTGCCTCCACATGGCTTTCAATGGGAGCTTCGGATATGAGAAGTGTGCAATGTTTCTTCAATTATTTGCAATTTAATTTGTTCAAAGTAGATTATTGAAATATAAAGCTCAATTTACTAGTTTAAATTTTAATCATTATTTATTTTCTTTTAAAATATTACAATAATTAATATATAATACATTTTAACCCCCTTTGGTTTAGCTAAATCTTCAAATATTTTTAACCACAAATTTCATGATATTCACAACTTTTATTAATTTTCAACTGTACATTTCATTCAACTTTGATCAAAATTCACTAAAAATATTTTCAACCGCACATTTCATTCAACTTTGATCAAAATTCACTAAAAATAATAAACTTTTAAGGTATATACTGTTTTAATGAGCTAATGTATACTATTATTTAGCTAATTTTTTACTTGCATTGTAAGAAGTACATTGTTGGAAAAGTGTTTATAAACAATTATGTTTAAATAGATAGAATTGAATGATAGATAAAATGGTAGTACTTGTGAATTCCACGGATAAACTTGGTTGGACCCCTATTTCAACTATTGAAAGTGTGTTATCCAGTACTTGTGGATAACAGATTAATAATAATATTTGTCCACTTTCAATAGTAATAACAGATTAAGGCCTTGTCCGTAGCAAGGGCATTATTGTTTTAATAGCAATCAAGATTCAAGAAAAACTTAGTACATGTTTGGTATGCAATATTAAATCGTATATACAATTAAAAAGAGTTTAGTTTCTTTTTCTTTGTTATTGCTATCCAGCTCACCTTACCAAACATTCTAGAATTGTCTTTAAACAATCAAATGCCCCGTAGCCCCCACACGCACAAAAACAAAAAGAAGAAAAAAGTTTAGTGGAACAGAGAAATAAATATGCATACCTTCCATTCTAGATATATGTTTTCGCATTTTCCTCTCACATCCTCTGCAGTGTACAGGTACTCTAAGAACAACTACCTGCAACCAAACATTCAAGATCACTTCATTAATTAAAATCATTTTAAGAACTTGAAAGATATTGGTATTGATAGTGTTGAAGCATAAAATCCCACGTCATGTAAAAATTTGGGCCACAACTAGTCGTGTTAAAAAGGAAGACCTTTTAAGATGGAACCGAAGAGCGAAGACTTGAGAAATAGATAAAACCAGTAAACCACACATGTGGCAAGTCAAAATTATGACATAAATGAACATAAGATCAACATAATATCACTTTTAGCATATTACATGAAGAATAGAGAGTGAATAGAACCTGTTCTGGAGATTCAGACAAAGAGGGTGGTTTTCCATCACATGATTCATCTGTTTTATCAGCTTTAGACTTGGAAGGTTCATCGTGAACCAATTTAAGAGCCGGGTCGAAATCCGATAAAACATCTAAGAAAGCTTTATCACTCAACAGGTATCTAGTTGAACCAGCAGGGCTTATAAAATCTCCTGATTTGGTGCAACTCCATCTCTTCCTTACAACATTAGTACTATTATCAACTCTCATATCCTTATTTAATTTTTCGTCCTCCAGTTCGAGGATATCCTGTTTATTGGCTCCATCATTTCCCTTTGAAGAGTTCTTTCGATTGTTGGAATGGTGTTTTTAAGGTTTGGGAGTGAGTGGTGAGAACTGAGACGAGGGAGTGGAGTTCCATTTAATTATGGGATTGTATCGGTCGAAACAAAGAGACATTCTTGCTAAGATTTTTAGGGTTAGCTGTTAAGCTTGAACTCTTGGCATGGAGAAAGTGAAGAGGAACGGAGGGGGAGAGAGAGAGAGAGGCATTCTAAACTAACAAAATAAAACACACCAAATATCTACGTATACATATCGGACGTGAAGTTTTATACCAATCGTCAATCTATCGTAACTCTCTTTATTTACATATCATGGGTCTGTTGGAGAAGAATAATTCTTTCCGCATACAAACTCTCAATTTCAGTTTGTTCAGTACGACGTCCCATAATTCATTGAGGATAATTCATCCGTTGTTTTCTATCTTTCCTGTCCAAAAATTAAACTCATCAACAAACAGTTTCCCACTGCAAATTTCATTCTTACTGCTCAAATTAAATTACTGTACAGAACTCCAAAAGAAAAAAAAAAGAGCAAAACTCATGCGAAAATTGCAGTCACGGAGATATCGAATTTATGCCACATTATCTCAAGCGTAACAAGTCTCAAATTTCACCAATTGATCAAAATCTTTGGTCAAAGGGTGTCAAGCAGTACCCAAATTAGAAGAAAGCAAAAGTACCTTTTTTTTATTGGGTCATACTACTTGTACTTGTTTGTTCACACTTTGATTTACTCGTGCCCACCTCCTCTGCTCACATGAGGGTCGGACCCCACATCATGACCCCCACATGAAACCCGACCTCTTGTGAGAGGAGTGGTGGGATCGAATAACCTAAAGTGTCAACAAACAAGTACAAATGACTTAATTCTTTTTTATTTCCCCTTTTTGGTAGAAATGGGAATAACATAGGAAAATGTGTTGAGATGCCTGAACATCTGCTTGAAAAGATCATCTGGAAAATTGAATGAATTAGACGCAAAGCCACTTTGCTTCCCTGTCCAAGCAAGGATTCTGGTTCACATATCCATGGAATCAGACGCCATTTCACTTTCTGCTCTTCTTTCCCTTTCTTTTCCTTTCCCTTTATATCCATCCAACCATATCACAGTTTAACAATTCTAACTCAAATCCTCTTTATTCTTTTGGCATGTCCTGCTAAGAGGCTTGGATAGTACTGACCGTATAATGAAGGAAAATCTGAAATCTTGTTCAACGTATAGTCGTTGAACAGTCGAGTCTTATCCAATATGACCTATGAACATGCACTTCATGTTCAAGTCATACAATACTGTTATAAACAAATGCACAAAATTGGATTCATATCAAAGTCCAGTCAAAATTACAGAATTATTAAGAAAATAAGATATGGAGAAAATAGAGGTTGCGTGAAACGATGTGACACATTGGTGAACTTTGTAAAAATAAAAATAAAAAATAAAGATATCAATGCACTATTGTAGAAGGAAACATGAATAACATGCTTTAAATCTATACATGTTATTTTAGCTGTATTCTTCATTCGTTCCCCTTTCCTTCATCTTCATTCAAGATGCGATTTCGAAAATCATTGACCATCAAAGGCAAGCCCTCGCGCAAGGAAATCTTAGGCTCCCAGTTTAGAAGATCTTTTGCTTTAGTAATATCTGGCTTCCTCTTATGAGGATCATCAGCAGTGTTTTCTTTGAATTCGATGGTTGCACTGGAATCAATTGTTTCTTTGACAACCTGTTATTTCCGAAAAAGCCACTTAATCATGTCAAAAACTAGATTCTAGACGCATCATTAAATAAGAAAATATCGTTTGAGGGTGCCCAAAGATTACAAACCTCAGCAAGTTCTAACATTGTGAACTCTCCAGGGTTACCCAAGTTGAACGGTCCAATGTGCTCACTTTCCATCAGTGCCACTAATCCATCAACCTAATATCAAGATAATAAATATAATTCTCTTGTAAACAACATTTAAATAATGCAAACAAAAATTACTTTTACACATTCTGTTTTCAATAAAACAAATTTTGACGTACATAAATTAAAATTTTGTTTGTTGCAGAACTTTTATAGAATGTATATTTCAAATTGAATCTTAGTTCCAACTCATCAAAAGGCATGTGTAAGTCAAATGCTTGTATGAAACTCGTGCGATTGATGGAAGATATTGAAGATGAATTGGTAGCCGTGCATGTCTGGCTAAGCTTAATGGCCAGTCAAGCTTTCTTAATATAGTTGGATACATTATCTTTTTCTTTTTAAGGAAAAAGAAAGTAATGGTTATTTTCATAATAAATTTTATTTCCAATTTTGCCCAACGAAAAGTCGAAAACAATGATTTATACCATAACATACTTATTTACTTATAAGTAACTTTTTAAGCCTACCCAAACACGCACAAATACTGCTCATCACAGCTTCCACCCATATATCCCTTTACAGTTCTAGGTTTTAACCGAAAAACTAGCTAATTTCATAATAACTCGGAAATTCTTGAGTGTGCAACCCCCCTCAACTAAAGGAATAGTGAAGTGCTGACAACTCAAAGGTCAACATTCTTTTGCCAGCAAGAATTTCCTAGTTAAAGGGGGTAAATTTGCATGGCTATACAGTGGAGTACGTAAAATCATAAATAAATGAGGCAGTGCCAGCAAGCAGGATAACAACATATAATTCTACATACCAAGTCAGACACATATTGAAAGCTTCTAGTTTGCTTCCCATCCCCATAAACCGTCATTGGTTGCTTGCGTATGGCCTGCAGATTACAGCTTTCAGAATAAGAACTCTAGTGAATGTAAAGCCTCTTAGGTAATCTCAAGGCGAACTGTTTGGGGAATCTTTACTGAACCAGAAGAGTACATCAGCAGAGAGGACAAACCTGTGAGACAAAGTTGCTGACAACACGTCCATCATCAAGACACATACGAGGCCCATATGTATTAAATATACGTGCAATGCGCACCTGCATAGCAAGAGAAGAATGATTAATAACAGCAGTGCTTAAATCCAACTTGGTATAAAAGTTGCAAAGTAGAAGGGACAAGCAATTTCATTCAACCAGTAGAATCTCAATCAAATGTAATCCTTGGCTCGTGGAGAAGCTATGAAGTTAGCAACTAGATTATACTGTACCACCCCAGAATCCTTAGTGTTATACAATTATCTAAAAACAATATTCTCAAATTCCCCAAACTCTCAAATTAATCAGACTAAAGAGTGAAACAAAGTTCGACTGTCATACAGAACAAACTTCCTGAATATTCTCACTTCACTTTCGGGAAAGACACTAAGGGTTCTATTTACTTTCTGTAAAAGGATGATGGTAACTTTTTTTTTCTAAAATATCAGAATTAAGAGTACCAACAACATACAAAGAGACACTACATTTGAGCATTACATTGTCAAAAGGGATGAATAATTGAGAGAAATTTGTGTAAAAACCGTGTATATCTTGTTGTCTCTATTGAATACATATATATTACAATCATTGAATATACAAGGAAAGTAAACAAACGTAATTGCTAAAAATCTGCGTTCTTCCCAAATATAAATTTAATTATATATGGTAACATCCCCCCTCAAATTGATGCGGGAAGATCAACCAGCATCAATTTGCCAACAAGGAATTGATGTCATAGTCGAGTCATTGCTTTGGCAAAAATATCTACCACCTGATCAGATGAAATGTAGGGATGGGAAATCACTTGAACTATCAAAGTGTCACGAATAAAATGATAATCAAACTCAATGTGTTTAGTGCGTTCATGAAAGACAGAATTGCATGCAATTTAAATAGCACTAGTGTTGTCAGCGTGGAAAGGAGTAGGATGAGTCCGAGGAAACCCAAGCTCCACTAGAAGACCACGTAATCAAATAATCTCAGAACAAGCTGAAGACATGGCACGATACTCAACCTCAGTAGATGATTTAGAAACACGATCTTGTTTCTTGCATCTCCAAGATATCAACGCATCACCGAAGAACATACACCAACCCATAGTAGAACGACACGTATCTGGACACCCAGCCCAATCAGCATCACTGTTGGCTGAGAGTTGAAGAGAAGACCCTCTAGGAAAGAACAATCCACGAGTAGGTGATCCACGAAGATAGCGAATAATAAGGTGATTCATCAAATTTGATCATGCAGCCTCAAAATCGGGACGTAACTTCATCAAGAATTGATCTCTCTTGCTTGTCTCATGCATTGTTTGAACAGCAGATAGAGCACCAGCAAGAACATTAGCATAAACAATATCTGAATATTCAGCCCAAAGATTCTGAAAACCTGAAAAATATTCTTCAATCGATAAATTTCCCTGTGTAAGGTTAGCCATCTCATTGAAAATGTCGAGCGGAATTGTTCTGTTTGTAAACCTTACTAAGATAGGCCCACATATCAGCAGCAATTTTTCAAGGCCTCAGATTAAGAATGAGGTGAGGCTCGACTGAACTAAGAATCCAGGTCATAACCCGAGCATCCTTGATTTCCCATTTCAACAAAGCCTCGACGTCTTTTGGAGCAGGATCACTTCCATCAAGATGACCCCATAACTCTTTTCCTTAGACGAATAATTGAAATTGGAACTCCCAAGCCGAGTAATTTTTCCCATTAAAACGAACCAGGAATGAGTCTAACTTATCAAATGACTTGATGGAATAAAATATGCAATCCAATCACACTAAAAACCACAAAACCCAACAATGGAACACAAAAAAATTAACTAGGAGATGGCCCAAATTAAATAATTAAGCAGAGGCCCAAATGATTAAATCACACCCAAGGTCCAAACAATTAAAATTCACACCCAAGGTCCAAACAATGAAAATACCAGTCACGTCTGTGAAGCTTGGACCAACTACTAGTCACACACTGAGAAGCTTCGACCGAGGCAACCGAAGGCAGGACCGACCAAGATTTCGAGAGAGAGACACTCGCCAGAATCGAAAAGCTGTAGAAGAAGACCGGATTTCACACCGGACTAGAAGGCGTCGAAGAAGGTAGGGAATCACATGTCAAATACGCCAACGACCAGGGATAACCGAGCGAAGAAGAACCCAAAACAGGGAAGAACGCAAAGAAACAATCACACGGTTAGGAGTTAGAATCCTAGCTCTGATACCATGTCAAAGGGATGAATAATTGAGAGAAATTTATGTAAAAACATATATATCTTGTTGTCTCTATTGCATACATATATATTACGATCATTGAATATACAAGGAAAGTAAACAAAAGTAATTGTTAAAATCTACGTTCTTCCCAAATATAAATTTAATTATATATGGTAACATATCCTGAAAATGATGTCATTACCAACTTCTCCTACTAGAACTTAGAGGAGAAACAATAAAGCAATTTTTCTCACGCAGCAAGGAACCATGACAATGCAGCTATTTTGTGGTAAATACACCTTCACCACTTGTATTATTGCTAGGTTACATGATAGCCCCCAGCCCCACCTCCAAAAGAAGGAAAAATCAAACTTCCTGTAGGCAGCTCTCTTTATTGTTTCCCTCCTCTATTCATTCTCAACCACTTTAGCTCCATATTTCATTTAGGTTCTCAGGGTGTTGGTGAATGCACAGTGATCACGGCAACGACATGCTCAAGTAAGGTGAAGGGTCAATGAGATCGACATTATTCATGAAAAGACTTTAAGCAGATGTAGCATATGTGCAGCAGCTATATACTCATAAAATTACATTTTTATCGAATTTGGAGCAAATTATAATTTTTTACGGTAGATAATGGATCGTTTACAATATAATGCATTGTAATGGATTTAAATATTAGAATAGAAACAACCAGAGGCTTGTCATCAGGACGATGATTTGCGAGAATGCCTATTAATATGAGGCGTATGGCGCATATAAAGATGGGTAGATTGAGGTGGTGGAATATCCCACCCTATGATTGGCTTTCAGTGTTCAATGGTGGTGACTATTTGATTGGGGGGGGGGGGGGGGGGGGGGGGGA